TTACTCGAAATTTCGAGAAGGAAGGAGGAATAGGGCGGATCGTCGCGACGAACGACGAAACGTTGGAAGACGAGAGGAATATGAAATAACGTTGTATTCAATGGGAGCTCTACCTTCTATCTGCGTATCATCTAGATATATATGCGTTCGAAAGATTTGATCCGAGGCCGCCTCGGATTCCCCGGAATCGTCCTGCGTGATTGATTTCGTTCAACAGGATTTCGACGTGTAACCGTGTGAACGCGCATCTCTTCGTGCGTGTTATCCCATTTCTTTTTTCTTTTTTCTCGGTTTTTGTTTCTTCTCTTTGCCTTTTTTATCACGTCTCGTCGCATCTCTATCGGACGTCGTTGTTGTAGAATTTCCTTCAACTGGGTTGATCTAAATTTCGAACATTTTTACTTTTACACGTATACGCGTCTTTGATTACCGTCCAAAATTATGTCATTTCCAAGAGAAGTACGATTTAAGGTATCTCGATTCACGTAATGTGAAAATATGAAATCGCTCGTTTCACTTTAAAAGCTCTAGATCTTACTTCCAGTGAAAACCGATAAAAGGGATTTCTATCTTTTTATCCTCTTATTGTCATCCATAATGCGTTGATCGTTTACGCGTATCCTTACTCCACGTAGTGAGTAGCGATCTAATTATTGAAATTATTATTAATTCACGTTTATTTGTCCTGGGATATATTTCATTTCGCTCTTTCAAAATCACTAGGTTACAAGTTTTTCGACAATGGCGAATAAAAAGAAAAGACGGAATATTTATGCGCGTCCGCCGAGACTCGTATTTTCGCTTTGTTGTCAATAAATATACAAATTCGATCAAAAGTTCGGAACACTCTAGTGATTTATTCGATAACATTTCGCCAAGATTTCGATTGGACACTTTTTGCCTTTTACTTTTTCCTTTTTTTCCAAAGTATTTTTAATCGAATAATTATACTCGCGAGAGAGTCAACATTTTATTTAAAAATTCTTAAATGCAGCACACTTTTGTTCGAGATTGTAGTTGACAAGGGTTGAAAGAGAGAGAGAGAGAGAGAGAGAGAGAGAGAGAGAGAAAAGGATATCGCGTGACAAAGGTGTCGTATTTCTTCGGATAAGAGACTGAGAGAAAGAAAAATTGGTTCGTCGCGATTTCGTTATAAATTTTCTGCAGGTAACCGAGCATTGCAAGTATTACCTACCACTTTTTGATTTTCTTCTTTGTTCCTATTTCACGTTTCTTATCGTGCATGCTTCCGCGTTGAGATATTTCGCGAGAAAAGAAGCAGGCGCGAGCGCGAAAGAAGGGGCGTCAAGAAAGGGAGGAGGACTAAAAGGCAATATAAGAGTGGATTTTTACACCGATTTAGGTCTTCAAGCTCGGTCGCTGCGTTCGATCGATCGTCCATGTCATTAGCCGTCGGTGAATTCCTAAGAGTATGGGCCCTGATCGATTTCTTCGTCTTTACTGAATATACAACGACGGCTTATACTAGATTTCCTCTTTCATCATTTTTTCTTCATTTCTCTTCCATCTCGCGAAATTTTCTAAACGACACTTACATTTTTAATTAATGCCACGAGAATAATTGCACCTATTTAACGGACACGTTTCTTAATGGGCAAAGCTGCGGATCGGATTGACCGAATGAACGATCGTTGTTACTACTTGTTACTACTTAAGGATACCTCGTTAGTTCTAGCATCGGTATAGCACTGATGGGGGCTAATTGTAAGTGCTGCTATAGAGCCAAGTGTTTCTATTTCACGGATTCGCTCGTCAACTCCC